ACAAAGAGGTCGAGGTGGAGGGGCGCGCTGGCTGGCGGGCGGGGGGAAATACGGAGGGGGTGTGCCGCGCCGAAATAAAGAGGTCGGGGCAGAGAGGCGTGCAGTACCGAAATAAAAGGTGTCGGGGCGGAGGGCGCGCGCTGTGTGTGTGGGGGGGGGGGGGGGCGTGGGATATGTGGATATGTGGATATGTGGATATGTGGATATGTGGATATGTGGATATGTGGATATGTGGGGGGATGCTGGTGGGGTGTACCATGCCGCATTAAAAAGGAGTCGGGGCGGAATGGTGTGCCGTGCCGAAATAAAATGGTCGGGGCGGAGGGGGCTCGCGCGGGGGGTGGCGTGCCGAAAGAGAGGGGTCGGGGCGGAGGGGGCGCGCTGGCTGGTGGGTGGGGGGATGCGGGGGGGGGGGGGGGCGTGCCGAATAAAAGGGGTCGGGGCGGGGGTGCGCGCTGGCTGGTGGGTGGGGGGGATGCGGAGGCGGAGGGGTGTGCCGTGTCGAAACAAAGGGGTCGGGGCGGAGGGGCGCGAATGCGGCCAGCGTTTCAGCGGGAGCAACATTTCGAAAACAAAACCCAGCGAAAACCCAATTCCCGGGAACTCTGTGCGTAACACACACACACACACACACACACACACACACACACACACACACACACACACACACACACACACACACACACACTACGACATCAGGGGGGAGAGGCGAGTAGTATTCATATTGTGTAAGTGTGGAGGGGGGAGGGGCAGGGAGGGGGAGGGAGAGGGAGGGAGAGGAGGACGCGGAGGAGGGGGGACGGGAAAGAAGGGGATTGAGGAAGGCAGGGTGTTTGCGTCTTCTTGTTCATGGACGGCGGACTGCGGGGGCGCTCTCGTCCTCACCGCCAGATCCTCATCGATATCCTTGCCGGACCGCGTTCCATGAGAGGTCCACGGGCCGATTGTGAAAAGCGAAGAACGTGCGGAGCAGGACAAGGGAGGAGGCGGAGGAAGAGGAGGAGGGAAAAGAAGGTAGCGGGGATAATGGAATGGAGAGACAACAGGAGGAACATTGACGAGGTACCCGGGTGTGTTCGAGCAGTTTCTGTGAGGTTCTGCGTGGTGCTGACATCTTTGAGGGTTGGCAGGGGGATGAGAAGGAGGAGGAGGAGGAGGAGGAGGAGGAGGAGGAGGAGGAGAAGGAGGAGGAGGAGGAGGAGGAGAAAGAGGAGGAGGAGGCAGGAGGAAGGAAGAAGGAGGGAGGAAGAGGAGGATGGAGGAGGGAGGAGGAGAAGAGAAAGAGCCTCAGGAGGAGGATGGATCGAGGACTCAAGGGCGAAGGGTTCGGCGGACAACTCCGTGTGTGAGGGAAGATATGTCCCTTGTTGTGCCGTTCCTGTTCCTCCCTCTCCTCCTCCTCCTCCTCCTCCTCCTCCTCCTCCTCCTCCTCCTCCTCGGGCTCGGCAGGTGCGGGAACGCCGTGGAGCATGCCGCGTCCCCCCGCGCGCTCAGCAGGGCAAGCGGGGGCGCCATCCTACAAGGAGGTCCTGGGTTTCCTCAAAAACCACGGGGTCGACCAGGCGGCGATCGTGGCGGTTGAGGCAGCAAAAAAAAGGCTACGGAGAGCAAACCGCCAACGGCGCCCACGCTGCGCTGGAAGGCGGACGGTCTGCGGACGAAGGTGGGCAAGAATCGGGCTGAAGCTCTGCGGCAGCAGAAGCTGGAGCTCGAGAGCGGGATCGCCGACGTCGACAGCAACCTTGACACGATCAAGGGCGACATGGCGGCGGCTGAGGAGCACCCCATGCAAGGCCCAACAAGCCAGCGAGCTTGGGGACCCGCTCGGCGCAGTGTCGGCTGCCTTGGACACCGCCGTCGCGGAGCCCAAGGGGGCAAAGAGGCGCTGGCTATCCTCGCGCGGCTCCAGCAAGAGGCACTGAACGGTCAGCGCGTTCCTGATGGTCCTGCTGCTGAGGCCGTTCCTGGGGGCGCTGGGACAGCAGGAGGGGGAGTCCGCGACGTCCCTGTGGACAATGGCGACGACGACGTCGACATGGAGTTGCTGACAGGAGACAACTTCGCGGAGCGCCAGGCAGCCCTTTCTTTGGCAGCCGACGCCCTCAAAGCGGCAGCCAGCGGCACGCCAGAGCAGCTCGCTGAGGCCAAGCGCAAGTACAACGAGGCAATGCTACAGCTCGGTGTCAAACGAGCCCGTCATGAGCAGCCAGTTTAGTAGCGAAGCCCAAGTCATGGACATGGGCAACCGGGCTGTGCAAAACGGCGGCATGGCCGGCCTCAAGGGCTTCTGGGACTCCAACGTGTACGACCTAGAGTGGCCGGAGTTGGGTTTTGCTGCGCCCGCTACCCGCCCGTCGAGATGCTTCGAGACCGACACTGCGCGATGGGCGCAGCAGGCAGCAACCCCTCGGGCCAGCAGAGCCAGAGAAGAGGGCAATGGCGCATCGGCGTCGGGTACAGGTGCAAGGATATCGGCTTCTGCGTCTACTGGCGCACTCAC